TGTACCTTAGGGTACCTTAGTGTCAGCTTGCTTTACATTTCCTGAACAAATGTACCATTTTTAAAAAATAAAGGCAGCTTGCATTTCCTTTTAAAGAGCATAGAAGGGAAAAGAGAAAAGGGAGTGTTTTCAAAAGCCACCCTATTTTTATTCATATATAACCCAAAGTAAAGTTAAATACATAGCCAAAGTTGCCTTACATGCTCACATTTAAGAAGGACATATTTCATTTGCTGAAAAATTACTTTCAATTAAATTGAAATTTGAAAATACATTGGCTTCCTTTGAGAGTAAGTTATAACCATTGTTTGAAAATAGTTTTTTTCCACTTAATCACTTTGCTCAGTCTTTGAAAAAAATAAAACAATTTAAGTGATTGCATTGTGTCCAAGTATTATATAAAACCAATTGAAAACAATTGTAAAAATATTTGTGCTCTTGACTTAAGAAACAGGGACCAGTACCAGCACATGGTGTGATGGTTACATCACTGGATTTCCACACAGCGGTTTGAGTCCTGGTCTCAGTGGCTTAAAACTCACACCAGGCGCATGTGCTTGTGTACCCAAAATCCCAAGAGGAGAATGGAGGAGAAGGGACTGTGGCATAGTTATCCTCCAGGGGGTGATTTCTTGCTTTCTGTATCTTTGTATCTCTCTGGCAAACACATGCACCCTGTAACAAAAATCCCTCTTCAAAAAAAAAAGAAAAGAAAAGAAAAAGAAAAAACAGGAACCATAGTAATGCAGTGCTCTGTGAGGCTGACATTATGAGAAGGTTCTGGGTTCATATTCCTGAACTTGCCAAGCATGTACTTGCCTGTGATCTGGGGCCAGCTGGGGCTGGAGCTAGATCACAGCATGAAATCCTGTTAGATATGCCTATCTCTGTCTCTCACTCATGGAAGAAGGAAAGAAAACAAATTTAAAAAAATATTTTTTTAAAAATTTGCATTTGTTTATTTGGGACACAAATTTTTTTTTATTCCAAATGTAATATTCTTCAAGTTTATGGTACTTACTTCGAGTAACCAGTAGCTCTTTCTCAGTGCCTTTCAGCCCTTGCCCCTGGGCCCTTCAGTGGTGTATAATAACTACTTGAGGCCGGTTGGTCTTCCCAAGGCTAGGACACAACTTTGCTTTCTTACAACATATCACTTATAGTTTATTCATAAGTTTTCCCATTAACTGGCTGAATTTCTCATGTTGTTTTCCATGCTTTAAGAAAAATCCATTGGGTAAAGATTTTATTCAGTCATTTATGGAGTTTCCACTAGATTACAAACTACAGATTATAAGAATTTTTGTGTGTTTTTCACTAGTATTTTTCTAAAACTCAGATCTATGCTTGGCACAGAGTAAGTGATCAAAAATAGGTGTTGAATGATTGCGTGCCAATTACTGAAGCAGCTTTATTCTATGTGCTGGAAACACAGTGGGAAGCAAAAATAAACATAGGCTTACATGAAAGGAGTGTAACAGGAATTGAGCATAAAAAAATATTGATTTTTTTTTTTTTGGAGAGATTTTCACTATAGGGCACGTGCGCTCGCCTGACAGACAGAGAGAGACATTAGAGACAGAAAGCGAGAAATCACTCCCCGGGGGGATGGTCACGCCACAATCCCTTCTCCTCCATTCTCATCTCGGGATCTTGAGCACGCACGCACACGCACCCGGCGTGAGTTCTAAGCCACCAGATCTGGGATGCGAACCGCGGTCAACTACGTGGGAATCCAGTGACATAGCCATTACGCTAACTGCTGGTTCCCAAAAATATTGATTTTTTAAGATGTTTTTGCTGTACGGTGTGTGCACTTGCCAGAAAGACAGAGAGAGATAAAGACAAAAAGTGAGAAGTCACCCCCCCCCCCCCGGGGGAAGGGGCACCCCACACATCTTTCCTCTCTCTTATACCACAATCCTTTCTCCTCTATTCTCCTCTGGAAATCTTGGGCATGCACACACATGTGCCTGGCGTGAGTTTAAGCCACCGGGTCTGGGACTCGAACCACAATTGAATACATGGGAGTCCAGCTACATAGCCATTACATCAACTGCTGGTTCCCACAAATAACAAATTTTAAATGTGATGGTGCCATAAAACTAGAGATACAAAGTGCTCTGAAAGCCTAGATTAGAGGGATCTTGCTGGAGGACATCTAGAAAGGGCTCTCTGAAGAAGTGGCTCTCTGAAGAGCTGAGTCCAAAAAGGTGATTAGCGAGAGAGGAGAGGAAAGTCCATCATATTTAGTTTCATGTCAATTCTTTTTTTTTCTCATTCTCATGTAGCCCCGGGGTAATTATGCTTACATACAGTTTCTCTTTTTCCCTGATATCTCTGTTTGCTAACTGTACTTCTGCACAGTTTTTTTCTTTTTTTAGCATCAATATATTTTGCCTTAGAACACATGTGCTCACCAGAGAGAGAGAGTGAAATGGAGAGAATCACCACCCCCTAGGAAGAACGTCCACACCAAAATTCCTTCTTCCCCATTTTCTTCTCAGGATTTTGGGCATGAACATACATGTACTCAGCATGTTTTTCAGGCTGCCAGACCCAGGACTCACCCCACAGTCAGCCATGTAGGATCCAGGACTTTAACCACCATGCCACCTGCTGGCCACTGTATAAATCTTAAAGTGTACATAGGTTTCCTTTTAGGAAATGGCCAAGACTTATTCTGCTGTTAAAAATGCCAGTATTATTTTACAAACGAAGAATGAACTGTCAAAGAGAAAAAATGAGATAACAAGGAGAACATCTCCTTTTCAATTTATTTACTATCACTGCTGTGTGTCTAGGAAAGTGCCACGTCAGTACTTAATAGATTTTGATTGGTTGGCCAACTGTTTGGTTGATTAGTGCCTGCCTGGTTGGCTGAGAGCTGGTTGGCTTTTAGCTGATTGGTTCAATGCCTAGCTAGTTGACTGGATGATTGCTGAATAAAGATGAGGGGAATTGATCAGCTTTGGCCTTAAAGTCACCCATAATACACTTTTTTATGTTTGCTTGTTTAATGCCAAAGGGCAATTGCATTTATATGAGGGGAAAAGAATATGAAAGAGAAAAAAATGAGACCAGCAGATGGCATAGTGATTACATCGCTGAACTCCCACGTAGTTGACCACAGTTCGATTCTCAGACCTGGCGGCTTAAAACTCATGCTGGGTGCGTGTGCATATGTGCCCAAAATCCTGAAAAGAGAATAGAAGAGAATGGACTGCAGGAGGGTCATTGCCCTGGGGGTGATATATAACCTTCTGTCTCTGTCTCTCTCTTGTCTCCAGCAACCACACACAACAGCAAAAACTGTCTTTAAATAAAGAGAGAAAATAAAAATACCCTCCCATTAGGGTCTCGACAATCCACAGGCATTTTTCATCCAATTCCCCATCCTGTCAAGATTCTTGAATATAAATGCATGTACCTTGCTTGTTTTTCAGTGTCCCAAATCTGGGACTTGAACCTTGGTCTATCACATGGAATCCAGCTTCCTCTGCACAGTGCTTAACCACAGCACTATGGCATCAGCCTGCAGAGTTAATAGAGTTTAACCGACAGTCACTAACTTTATTATATTTATTAAATATCCGAACAATTTATTTAAGCTTTGTAAGTGCCAGTTTGTTCTATAAAGCAATGTTTTTCTCAGGAGGCTACTGGAAGGATATAAAGGTGATATTGCATATAAAACTTTAACGTGACATCTAGGGTGTGTTAAATGATCACTCAGATATGTTCACTATTTTAAAGAAAATAAAGAGGTTTTAATATTTTTTCAAAAGAAAATTCGTGAAAGCAGTCTGTATTAAATATGAGTCTGTACTGAAATATTATCCCTGTTAACCTTTGTTCTTCAAATGTAAATATGCATCTACGGCTGACCAGAATTACTCATATCTAAGGAAATAACACATGGAGAAAACTCCTATGGACAAAAACGAGCTCCCTCGTAGCACCACCCTCGCCCCACCCGCTCCCTCTCCCTCTCCCACTCTTCGTCCTTGCCCTCCTATTGTGTTATTGTAGGCTCCTAAGGGTAGTCATTTTCTCTATCAAGAAGAAGGTGGGGCATGATAACTTATTTCCTGACAGGGGTAGTAATTGTTACCCAGGGTTTTCCTTTACAACTGCTTCCTAAACAGAACTTTATGTATTATACATTTTTCTGTACACAGCATTACACATGCATTAAGGAAGTGAAATTGGCATGTGAGAATGTGATGGGATAGGATAGAATAGATCAAATTTAAACCTAGTTTATATGAGCAAATAGAAAAATATACAAACCAAAGATACTTTTTTTAAAATTTATTTTTAGAGGTTTTTGCCTTAGGGTGTGTGCATTTGCTGAAGAGAGAACAAGACAGAGACAGTGAGAGGGAAAGTGAGAAATCACCCCCCCGCCCCCCGCCAGGGGCAAGGTCACACCACAATCCCTTCTCCTCCATTTTCCTCCTTGGGGATACATGCACACGCACCTGGCATGATTTTCAAGCCACCAGGTCCAGGACTCAAACCGTAGTCAGCCATATGGAAGTCCAGTGACATAACCACTATGTCATCTGCTGGTCTATAAATACTGGTTATTAAAAACAGGAGAGGAAGTTTATTCCAGCTACTCCAGGTTGGCTATCTCCACATCATGTTGAAAACTAAGTAGCAGAAATAGCAAGTGACTAAACCTGTTGTGCTTGTTTGCTGGTCGGTGCAGATGTAACCTGCTCTCAAGTCCCTGTAGGGCTCGATCTTGCTGTGTCATATGCCATTTACTGGCCACGAGGCATGAAGAACTGCTCTCTGTGACAAAGCTCATTCATACACCTAAGAGCCACGTTGTGCAGAGACTATTGCCCATCTCTTCTAACCACCATCATTAATGTTTATACCACATGTGCAAGATTCCAGAGATAACTGTCCTGGCTTATTAAATGCCATAAGAAATGAAGTCAAGAATTACATAACCATGTTGTTAACAAGCAGCTTTTGCTTTTCAGCGTCGACTGGGAGATGCAGCAAAGAAAGCCATCAGCAAGCTCCAGGTCAGGACCATCAAGAAGGGTGACAAGGTAATGGCTGCTCTTCTTTTTAGTGAGCAAAAAGTCAAAACAGCTTTTCACTTCTTTCTTTTCTTTAACGGTTTTGTCACAGAGCATGTGCGTTTGCCAAAGAGAAAGATAGAGACAGTGAGAAGGAAAGTGAGAAGCCAACCCCTTCACCCCCCAAGGAGGATGGCCATGCCACAATCCCTTTTCCTCCATTCTCCTCCCAGGATTTTGGGCACACACGCATATGTCTCTGGCATGATTCTTAAGCCTCTAGGTCTGCCAATCAAACCACAGTCAGCCATGTGGGAGTCCAACGCCTTAATCACCACACCACCTACTGACCCAGCTCCTTACTTTTCTGACAGCCAGGACAGACAGAAAGAGAGGGAAGGATGGGAAAGGGAAATGCATGCTAACAGTTGTGCTGTAAGTGTTGGTTACTTACTCACAAGCATTCACACCATACCATCTGCCATTGTTATAATTGCTGTCATGGACCTGTAGTTATCAATCTAGCACTTTTATAGAAAAGATCAAGAAGAATCACAGCAGAGAGAATTAACAAAATACCTTTCATTTGAATAAATACTCATTTATTCAGTTAATATTATTCAAAACCTACTGTGTGAAGGACATTAAATACCATATATTAGGCAGTTACCTAACCTTTCTGACTGTGTTTCCTCCTAAAACATACTAAAGGCTGCTTTATAGTGTGGCTATAAAGATTAAAGTACATAGAACCACATCACACCATACTCGGCATGTAGGAGTTGCTCAACAAATGTGTTTACATTGTCTGTTTTCCCTCATAGGTGTATAATATTATAGGTGATTCAAATATTGTCCCTATTGTGAAAACTTACCTTCATATGTACCTATTCTCCTCCATTTCCCCAATTCCCTTCACCATGTGGCCCTCCCCCTACATTGGTGTTTATTGCAATGCATCACTTGCATTGTATTGTATTCTATTTTCTCCCTACTTTCCCGCAATTGCATTATCTTATATTAACTATCAGTGTTGAAATTTCTATGCTTAAGCAGTAATATAGTAATTAAGAAATGGTATTCTCAAAAAGTAAATAAAAAATAATTTAAAGCTGTTTATGAAATACATAGGAGAACAAAATAGTTGGATAGAAAAATATGAGAAATTGGGAACCAGCAGTTAGTGTAATGGGTTATGTCGCTGGACTCCCACGTAGTCGACCGTGGTTCGCATCCCGGACCCGGTGGCTTAAAACTCATGCTGGGCACGTGTGCATGCGTGCCCAAGATCCAAAGAGGAGGATGGAGGAGAAGGGATTGTGGCGTGACCATCACCCCGGGGAGTGATTTCTCACTTTCTGTCTCTCTGTCTCTTTCTGTCTGTCTGGAGAGTGCACATGCTCTATAGCAAAAAGCTCTCCAAAAAAGAAAAAAGAAAAAAAAAAAAAACACAAAGAAAAAGAAAAATATGAGAAATTGAAACTAGTATACCAAAAAAAAAAAAAAAAAAAAGATGAAGCCAGTATGAAATTAGCACACAAATTACCTGAATTAGTGCATATGACCTAAAATGTATAATAGAAATGGGTCCTAAGTTTAGGTAGGGGCAGTTTCACAGTCAATGCAAAGAAGGAAACAATACATAGGTTCTTCAAAGAGTTCATAGGAGATGAGTATTATGAAAAAAAATGCATGGGTTGCAAAAATATTCTAATCAAAATAAATTCTTTTTTTGGGGGGTTTCTGCCATAGAGTGCATGTGCTCACTGGAGAGAGAGAGAGATAGAGAGAAAGTGAGAAATCACACCCACACACACACCCTCAGGGAGATGGCCACACCTAGTCCTTTCTCTCCATTCTCCTCTTGGGATTTGGGGCACACATGCACATGTATCTGTGATGATTTTCAAGCCTCCAAGTCTGGGACTGGAACCACAGTTGGCCATGTAGGAGTCCAGCACCTTAAGCACCATGCCACCTGCTGGCCCCAATAAACTTATCTTTTAATTCTACTTTTCCGTGAATTTTTTGAAGTCCTTTTATATTCAATATCCTAACAATATTTAATTAACTTATTCCAACATAACTTAAGATAAAAATGAAGTGACCGTTTTTGGTGTTATGACCTAAGAAGGTTTTTGCAGAATCCTTGCAAGGAAGACAATGTTGTGTGCTGCGCTGTGTTCCCCACTTAAGTCTACAGTGTAAATGAAGGAAGTACTGGGTCATCGGAAAAGTCACTATGTATTTTTCTATGAAAAATTGCATCATGACTTTGCCAATAACCCATTATATTTAGTCCCTCTGAAATCTAGTATTTAGAATCCCATGGTTATTGCAATAACCTTCTTCACTATAAATAAGGGACAACAAAGCAATGCTGTCCAAAGGTCGTTCACCTCCCAAAGCAGACATTTTAGAGCAATAGCTTGTGATATAGATAGTCCTCAACTTGCCATGATTTGGCTTATTGTTTGACTTTATGATAGTGCAGAAGCAATATGTATTCAGTAGGAACAGTACCTTAATTACTGGTACAACCATTCTGTTTTTCACTTTCAGTACAATATTCAACGAATTACACAAGGTACTCAGCACTTGATTATAAGATGGCTTTATGTTAGATCAGCAGTCCCCAACCTTTTGGGCACCAGAGACGGGTTTCATGGAATACAGTTTTTTCCACAAACTGCAGGGGCAAGGAGGATGGTTTCACAGTGATTCAAGTACATTACATTTGTTGTATACTTTATTTCTATTATTAGTACACTGTAGGATATAACAAAATAGTTATACTACTCACCATAAACACAGAATCCATGGAAGCCCTGAACTTGCTTTTCTGCACTGACAATGCAACTGCATTTAAAGCCAAACTGGAAATATAGGGTCAATGAGTGGACACTGGGATTTCTGACCTGTTTCAGTGTGAGAATCTAATTTACTGGTCTGACAGGGGGCAGGGCTCAAGTGGTAATGCTAGTAATGGGGAGTGGCTGTAAATACAGATGAACTTTGCTTGCTCAGTTGTCACTCACCTCCTCCTGTGTGGTTTGGTTCCTACCAGGCCACAGACTGGTCCATGGCCTGGGGATTGGGGACCCCTGTGTTAGATGATTTTGCTCAACTGTAGGCTAATATAAGTGTTCTGAGTATGTTTAAGCTGGGCAAGGCTAGGCTAAGTTATTTTTGTTAGTTTAGGTATATTAAATGTATTTTTTACTTACAGTATTTTCAATTTATGATACTTCTATCACCTATAATAAGGTAAGGTACATATGTTCATGGGTTTGAGACTCCTTGGGCATTGTAAGAGATTAATTACATACACCAGGTGTCTCAAGCCCAAATAATTAATTTGTATCATACATCTTTGCTATTATTTATTCAACTATATAAAATGTGATTGGCTTCATAAGATAAAATTCATTTAAAAGCATTACTTAATTTTAAATACATATTGTTCCTTACTTTTCTCCCCATGCAATCAGAGAATAACAAAAGTACAGGGACTTTATAATACCTTATGAGGTGTTAAAGGAGATTTAGATACTTGAAAAAATTGAAACCACTATCTTATGTTTATATTTATATATCAGATCACAAAGGAATAGATAAATTAAATATCAGTCACATAATTCTCCATAAATATTATTTTACATCCTCAGGATTTTGATATGCTGCCCCTAATCATAATTAATAGCATTATTAATGACTGTACATTAGAAAATGGGTTTCTTTGAGGCCAGCACTTGATGTAGTGGTTAAGGCTCCCACATGGTCAACCATCATTCAAGTCCCAGACCCAGTGGCTTGAAAATCATCCTTAAAATCCCAAGAGGAGAATGGAAGAGAAGGGAGTGTGGCATGGCCATACCCCCAGGGGGGTGATTTCTCACTTTTTCTCTCTCTTATCTCTGTCTCTCAGTGAGTGCTCATGCCCTATGGCAAAAAAAAAAAAAAATTAAAAGAAAACTGGTTTCCTCACAAAATTGCAATGGAACCTAGAAGTAAAGATTACAGGTGGGAGGGTTGGCCAATGAGCCAATAGACACTAAACTGTTGATGACAGTAAACTGGCACCAGGACTGTTGAAACTTTGCTCCAGGCAAGCGCTCCTTTGGTTTGTTGTTTGGGTATTTACACAAGAGTTGAAGTGAAGAAAGTAGGCTCATCCATGCTTCCTCTGTTGCAGGAAACAGAGCCTGATTTTGACAACTGTGCAGTTTGTATCGAAGGGTACAAGCCCAACGACGTGGTCAGGATCCTGCCCTGCCGGTGAGTCACTAGGCTGCCTGCTTTTGATTGGGTCCTCTGTGGACAGTGCCTGCCTGGCCTCCTGGCTCAGACCTGCTCGGCCTAGCCCTGCAAGGTCAGTCTGTCTCCATGCTTCCGTGTTTACACTTCAAACAGCCAAAATCCTCCTCCTTTTCATTTAACCTTTGTCCTTGAACACACTTTGTCTAGTGAAACTAGAAATATTTTCTGATCTTTGGAGGGACATATATGGCCACAAACTAGAACCTCCTAGTATGCATTTTTTTAAACAGGTTTATGATGCTCAGAATCAATGTTGGCTTTTACCGGTACTAATTTAATTTTGATTAAAATTAATGAAAAGAAAAAAATCTTACAAGTATTTTGTAAATAATCACAAATGGTTCAACAATCAGAATATGGCCAGGAATAAGTAAGAAGCCAAAGACAGTTTCCATTTCCCTTAATTTTTTTTTTTTTAACAAAAAAAGAATGTGACAAATTCCCTAAAGTTTCTGGAATCCAGGAGAGAGAGTCCAGCATGTATAGTTGGGAAAAAGCCTCAGGCCATTTTCATGGTACCCTAATCCTGCTCCCAAATGGAAATTCACTGCCAAAGTATCTGAATACTTTCTACATTGTTGAAACTAAATCCATTTAAATACTTCAGTAAAACCAAATATTTTAAAGTTGCATGAAAACTATTCATTGAATTGAAAATCCATTTTTGTACTTGTTTCATCTCTGCCCTAAAAATAAACATGAAATGATGCTTTCATGAATGATTCTTCACTTAGAAATACTGGCTGTAGAAATATTTAGAGAACTTAAAGTAGAAAAAAGATACCACAAATATCCAAAATAATCCATTTATTCATAAAACAATGCAATCTAGACCTACTTAATAGAAACACAAACAAAATAGGCTTCTAGAGGATTGTTTAATAATCCCCAAATGATCGAAGAGATGACAAAAAACTGTTATGTAGATGCAGAAAACTCCCAAGGGAGAATGGGTCTTGCTGGAAATGCCCACAGGCAAATTGATGATGAGGAAAGCAGGCATCAGGAAAACGCACCCTGCGGCCCCAGCCAAATTCTTACAAATGTGATTCACTGTCTATTTATTTGTAGATGCTGAACCACCTCTGAAACAAAATCTAAACTAGGACAAGATGTGGTAGTTTCCTTCATACAATACTATCTATGAATGCTTTACAGACATTACTCTTAGTACTGACATGGTAACTTCCAGAAACATTGGCAGAGAACAGCAGTATGTGAGCATTGGGAAGACCCTCGGAATAGCATCTCTCTGCAGTATTTTATTAAGTGTTTTTGTTAAGTCTCATAGTTAGAAGCAAGGAAAGTATTTTCCTTTCCTTTTCTACTTGGAGGTTGGTTGAATTCCTATGAGGCTATGACTAACAAAAAATACTCAAAGCAAATTAAAGTTAAATAGCTACTTACTTCTTCCTGAGAATCCATTACAAATGTAATTAAGAAATATGTTTTCAAAATTATATGTATGGGGAACCAGCAGTTAGCGTAATGGCTATGTCGCTAGATTCCGAAGTAGTCGACCACGGTTCGCGTCCCAGACCCGGTGGCTTAGAACTCACGCCAGGCACGTGTGTGTGCGTGCCCAAGATCCCAAGAGGAGAATGGAGGAGAAGGGATTGCGACGTGACCATCCCCCCTGGGGGGTGATTTCTCGCTTTCTGTCTCTATGTCTCTCTCTGTCTGTGGGACGAGCGCACACGCCCTATAGCAAAAAAACAAACAAACAAACAAAAAAAAACTCTCAAAAAAAAATTATATGTATGGCATTACATTAGGTCAGCAACTCATACAGCATGAAAAAATGTATTCATTTGACGTTCTGTCAGGAATGGATGTCGTGTTACTTCATGTAATTCCTGGAGACAGCATGATATCCAATGTATAGATATACCACAACTTAATTCACCATAGAATTCTTGGTTGGTTTCAATTATTTTTTATTTTATTTACATTCAATTGATTTCAATTTTTAATCATGACAAATTGCATGACTTTTACAGTATTTACACTTTTTATGATGTATTATTCCAAATCTCCTCTTACAGTAAATATTTTTGAACTGTTGAATCAATTTTATATTTACCATACAAAATAACACTTTAGGGACTTCTTCATTTACACTATCCCTGGCCTTAAGCCAGTTCAATTTGGCTTCAGGCACCTCCTTTTTAACATGATATTTGGTTCTCATCTCCTGATTTTCTTCTTTTGGCTGCAAACTCCTAGCTGTTAATCTACTTTTATTTTCTTATTATGGCCTCTACTTTGAATAACAAGATGCACTGAGCATTACCAAACACAGGTTATAGTTAATTACTCTTTGGTTTTATACTAGTTGTACATATCTGTTCTTTGAACAGCGCTTACATTTTTTTCATGCTGATTTAAAATGGAGATATTTCTACGCCTGTTGCTGGTTTCTGCCAGACAGTTTGCATTAATGGATGTTATCAAACAAATGTACTGGCATTTGCTTTCTGCTAGATAATTTCCTCTGGGGTATTATTAAGCCTTTGCGCCTATGAACTTCATAGCTTCTCTTTCCTATTATTTCCAAGCTGACTCATCCACAGAATTTTTTGCATCTCCTTGGAGTAAAAACTATTTCAAAAAAATGTTCCAGTTTTTCATCTCCCTTCTCATACTTTTTCCCTCTGGCCTTGTAACTTCTGACCTACTGGGTGCATCCTGTCTCTATCATAAACCATTTAGGAGATCTTTCCAGATTACCCAGGTATATTCTAGTACCACTGCTTTTTCTAAATCATCCTGTTGTTTGTGTTTGTCGTTGTGACCCCTGCACAAATTATTTTGAATCAGTAAATGCTTTCCTCTCATTATTTGCAGTGGTTATTTAAAGTGGTCACCAAGACACCTACCCTTGGTTCTCCTTCATTCTTTCTTCATTCTGGTCTTTACCTAGCACAGGAAAGTGATTCTCTGGATGAGCCTGGACACCTATAGGTGAGGTCAGGGACCCCACAGCAGCACACAGCACCTCAACCTCCAACACTCTGACCTGCACGGTTTGGGTTTGAGCTCAGGTCACTATTTCCCAAGAAACTTCAGGTTTGCTTCCTCATGAGTATGCCAAAATCTACCTTATACCGTACTGAAGGGGTGGGTTTTGTGACTTGGGTTAATATTTGTGCCTAAGATTTCAAAGATGCCCTATTGAATCATTGTATTAAAGAATTATCATCTCTTGTTCAGTGAATAAGTTCTCTAATTCTGTGGTTTGATCCAACAGTGTCCCTACTTTTCTTCAATCATGATTCATTTCAGTCTACATAAAGACCCAATTTCATATATACAAGTGTCTCCAAAAGGCTATGAACCCCTTAGGCAGGCCAGAGGCCCTGTTTGTCATTTATTCAAAACAAACAATAGCTGTGTCCTTTCCTACATTCCTGTAAAATTTGTTCCCGTCTCTGACTTACCACCATGGCTTTATCACTGGGAGGATATTCATTTCTACTATTGCCTTTTCCTTTGATTTTGCAAACTCTCCACAATTGAGGAAAAGTTTAAAAGCAGCTAATAACAAGCAGAACTTTATGATAGACTTTTTGTCATTTCATTCAGAACAAAAAACATGTTGTAGCAACCATATGCCAGGAAGACTGGAAAGTGTCTCTAATAAAAAGATAAATGCTAGAACCAGCAGGTGGTGTGGTGGGTAAGGTGCTAAACTCCCACATGGTTGACCACAGTTTGAGTCCCGGACCTGGCAGTGCCTTCTTTGTCACTTTCCTCTCTGAGTGCATGTGCTCTATAGCAAATTAAAAAATAATAATAAATAAAATTAAATAATTTTTTAAAAGATAAATACCATGATCCAGGCCTTAAGGAAAACATAGGTGACTCTCTCTACCCGTGGGTTCTTTTTCTGCAGATTCAACAGAACACTGATAAAAAATATGTGGAAAAAAAATTCCACATGGTTTCAGAAAACACAGCTTGAATTTGCCATGTAGATGTTGAATTGGGTATTAAAAGAGATCTAGAGATGCCTTAAAATCTCAGAGATATGCATAGGTTATATGCAAATACTATGTCCTTTTACATAAGGGATTTGAACACTGTGGATTTTGGTATCTATGGCAGATCCTGGAACTAGTGCCCTGGGGATACCAAGGGACAACTGTAGTCTAGTGGGAGAGACAGGAAGTTAAGTAGGTAATCAGGATATGGAGTGGCACATGCAACAATAAGTATATAAATATTTTGAAGGAACAAATATAAGCATACAAGAGTTAAAAAGGTCCTGTAGGAAAAAATGTAGTATCTTCATATTTTCTAACAGTGGCTTGTTTCATCCATTACATAGTCATGGAAAATTTGGAAAATGGAGAAAATATTGAAATAGCTGTCTAACTCCTTCAAATTGGTAACTACTGCTAACCTTTTTATATGTTTCCTTTATATTTCCTGTGTCTATTTTTACAAGTTTGAGATACTCCTGATATCATTTAATATCCTGCTCTTGGCACTCACCATTATAAGAATTTGCTAGAAATAGTACTGGATTATTTATGGCTTGATTTGACCTTCCTTTGGCCTCTGACACTGTAGTCACAGCTGACCTAAGTCTAAGCTGCGTAAATCAACCAAAGCCCCTGGGAGGTTGTCGAACCTGCTCATCAGAGGGCAGAGTCAGGGTCAGCAGGTGGCGTGAAGGTTAAGGTGTCTGGCTCCCACATGGCCAACCGTGCAGTCCAAGTCCTGGATGCAGTGACTTAAAAAATCACACTGGGTGTGTGTGTATGCATACCCAAAATCCCGAGGGAAGAATGGAGGACATAAAAGGTTGCAGTGTGGCCATTCCCTCTGAGGGTAATGTCTGTCTGTCTGTCTGTCTGTCGTCTGTCTCTTTCACTCCAGCAAGTACCTGTAGCTTATAGCAGACAAAACAAAACACACACACATACATGTGCCCAGTGTAAGTTTTAAGCCAC